GCCCAGGCTGCCTAGCATCCCTAACAGTACTAAGCTTGCAAAAGGTCCAGCACCTGCCTCCTGATCATTCTTCCAAAGTTGTTCTACAGGGATCCCTAGCTCAGCACACAACTTCACTCCTTGGGCTGGTGGACTAACTTCCAAAGCAGCCCTTCCTGCCACTGTCCCCTCAGCTTCCTACAGCCTCAAAGCCAATGGAGAAGTGTACCATTCTGGGGTCAGAAATCTTGAGCTCACACTGAGCACCTGGGAGACATCAGCTCATGTTGTCCTGACTATGCCAAGTGCTCAGCACTGATCCGATCCCTGTTCCCATGGCAGGGGTGTGGAGGACGATGAACAAGGAGCTGAGGGCTGGACTAAGTCGGTAGGAAGGCAGGTCTTCTTTACTTAGCCTTAGGGAGATCTCTTGGAGGGGTAACACACAGGCCAAGACCTGAAGGTTGAGAGGGAAGCTTCCATCTCAGGAATGGTTAAGAATCCTCCTGCCTTTGTTCAGCCATAGTCCCCACCTCCTTCTGGAGGAAGAAAGGAAGAGAATGATGGAGGGAAGAAGGGAGGGAGAGAGGGCCCAAGCTGCAGAGGGCTAGCAGAGCCTCTGACAGAGGAGTCTGGGTTTAAGTTCAAAAGCCCGGGGCAGGCATGGAGGATTGGGGAACATAGAGCAGCAACCTCAGGCTGCACCTTCTTTCTGCTGATGCAAAGATGAGGGTTGGGGTGGGGGTGGGGGCAGAAGGTTAGCATAATGTGGTGATGACCCTGACTACAGATGTCACTGAGGCTTCAGCTTTGGAATCCCCAAGCTCCCAGGCAGACACCTGAGAGACCAGCTCAGGAGGACTTCCTTCTGACAAGCTGGTCTCTGCTGCTAACAAAGCTGTCTGGACGTCAGAATGACTTCCAGTGTTCTAAGCAGCAAGATCTGCTGTGGGTGGGGGGATTTTCAACAACAAAAAAATCTGCCACCTTCTAACTAGGTCATTCCCAGCTACATCTGAGAGCTGAGGTGTCATATGCAGAAAAGAAAGCCAGCTTTAAACCCCACTCTCCTCTCCCCCACTTCTCTTCCCCCCCTCCCTCCCACCTCTCCCAACTCCTCCCAGCCTAGCCTCTTTTTCCCCACTTGGCGGGGAATTGACTGGGAAGCGCATGGGGGAGGGGTTCTCTGGGGCTCTCTGGCTGGGTACCTGAGAATGTAGGTTTGTTTGACAGACCCTTGACTAGCTGGACCCCTGTGCTGCCATACCCTAGCTATGTGAGCTTGGGCAAGCCATCTGACCTCCTTGAGCCTCTTCAAGTTCCTCTGTAAAAGGTATCCAATAATAGATCCTTAGATCTCTTGGGGTTATTATGAGACCTAAGAAAAATTACTCATGCAGAGTTCTCACCAGAGTGCCAGCACGATGAACCTTAATGTGCAAGGCAGGGCAGGATGGGATTGATTAAGTCTGGTCCTTGACGGGATTACTGAAGGCAACTAGTAGAAATAAGCAATTTGATGAAAGCAGATAGTGATAGAGATTGCTAAAACAAGGGCCTGATATAGTGCTTTTAAGGGGGAGAGTCAAGGAGGGCTTCCTGAAGGAGGTGGTCCCAGAGAAGGAGCAGCATTTATATTGGTGAAAATGCAGGAGAGGGACGAGGGGGCATGATAAGTGAAGGGTCCACAATGTAGGTGCAGAAAGTGTGAGGCATATGCTTCCTGTACCTGCCAAGAATTGGCACTGACTGTCCACTGCCTGCTTGGTGCTGGGCTGTGACTTACAGACACTATGGCTTCAAGAAATGATTTAAGTTTGGGGCCAGAAAGTTGGCTCAGCTGGTAAAGACACTTGCTGCACAAGCCTAACAACCTGAGTTTGAGTCCCAGAACCCACAGCAACTCCACAGAGTTGTCCTCTGTGGAGCAGCAACTCCACAGAGTTGTCCTCTGGCCTCCAACTGCATGCTTTGGCATCTGTACTACATAGCTTCTAACAGAAACGCAGTCCCAGAGCTAAGTCTCCCTAGCCCCAGCTCCTATTTCCACTGAGCCCCTGGGTTCTGGGTGAACTCCTGGAAAAGGATCTTCAATATTGGTGGGACCAATTCTCAAGAGGGTTCTGGATGCCAGAAACAGAGCTGGAGTTTCATCAGTGACATGGTACTTATATGATCTTGGGGAGCCAGAGAATGCTCTTAAGCAACATGAGCCCTGATGAGGGAAGTCTGGTAACGGTTGAGAAGATGGCTTGGGGCATCCTTGAGAGGTCAGAAGTGAGAGGCCAGGATAGTGAATGACTGTGGCCATGGGGTAAGGGAGAGGGAAGGGGAGTATTTATCCTTTAGTTTGTCCCATTTTCCCCATCTGCAGGTTGGGCAGGATCAAAACCCCACTGCAACAATCCCATCATTTGAGAAGACACCTTCCAGTCCCACGAGTCCTCAGCCACCCCAGCAGGCCACTGCCCTGCGAAGTACTGTTCAGACACAAGAAATCACGCTGAACCTCTGATGGACAATGACAGCAACCTGACATAAACACTTATATTTTAAATGCAAGGGCAAGACAGACAACAAAGCCCCTTGTAATCATTCCCACACTGGTTCCAGAAGTGACATAGCTCCCTCAGAAGCAGCTGATACTTGATAATGGACCACAGCCTGACTGAAGCGTACCACCTCCCTCCCACTTCTACATCCAGCACCCTTACTTAGAATAAAATGAAACTGCAACCGGCCTTGGCTACTCAGTCAGGAACACTGGCCAAGTGGGGAGAGGGCAGTCAAGCTTCCACCACTGGCCTGAACTGTTGGCTAGACAGTCAGGAAAACTTGTATCTTACCTCTTCCCTGGTCTCCTGAGATGTTTCCTGCTCCCCCTCCCCACTTTCCCTATCCATTCATCCAACATAATGCATTGAGCACATACCCGATTCCATACACTGAACTGGTGTCCCAAGCAATTATGGGTCAGACAGACATGGCTCTGGACTTTTAGGGGAACAGGTAACATACAAACACATGTGGAAATAGGAGAACAAGTTAGAATTGAAGTTAGGGTTCTAAAGGGCACTTAGTAGAAGTCACCAAAGGGAATGGAGGTGGAGAGTCTAATCTGGGAATCACAGAGGCCTCTCAGAGGGGGTGACCATTCAGATATAAAGGTGAGAAGGATCCAGGCATACAAAGAATCAGAAGGAAGAGGATAAGTATCCAAAAGCAAGGTGATTTGTGACCCCAAACTTCACCAAAGTTGGGTGGTTCTCTCCATTCCTTTGACTGCCCCCATCTTGCCCACTCCTTTCTGCTCACACAACCACACAGTGATGGCCTCTCTCTAAGACTCTACTTGAGGGGAACCTCCCCATCCTTCAGAGCCACCTGATCAACAGGAAAAGGCAAGTGGAAAAAAGGAAAGGTGCCTTTCTTTCCACACTTCCTTGGCAGACTGCAGGATGCTGGGAGAAAGGCCTGTACACCTCATCTCACATCATCCAGTGCGGCACTCTTACCCCAGGGCTCATGGATAAAGCCTCAGGGGACTTTCAGAACCCCCAACATGTATGCTCAAGAATACAATGTTTTTTCTCTCCCTTACGTTTGCCATCAGATCCTTCAAGAGTCTGTAGAAACCACCATATAACCTCTTCCCCTCACATCCATGGTTAGAGACCCAGAAAGGGTGATTCATCCAGGGATTAGTTGTATAGAGGATTGGAACACTGGTATGGTGCTCAGTCTGCCCAGCCAGTTCCTGGTTATGTGACCTTGGGCTAGTATTTAACTTCTCTGTGCCATAGTTATTCATCTTTGAAATATGGGGAAGATAGCACCCACAGCAATATCTAACAGTTAAAATATGTTAAAATATGGTTCTTTTAAATGCTGCTGTTAATCAAGGTCACAGAAGCAAGCAGCACAGCCCTGTCCCTCATATCTCCCTGGAGACAGACAGGAGCTCCAGTGTCTCCTGAACTTTCAAAGGGGGATGTGGCTATAGCCAGGCCCTACAGCTACTGATAAGCCCTCCCAGCATCTGCCCAGGAGAATAGCTGGGTATATGGGGGAGACTGAGCTTCGGGGGAGGTGGAGGAAGTCCCAGGTCTTCTCCCAGCTGGGGGAAGGGAAGGAGAGCATGGACATCAAAGGGTGGGCAGGCCAGCTTCCCGCCCTCAAGGCCAGGTGGCCTTTGTCAGGACAGGCCAAAACAATCTGGACAGTAAGGTGCCCTGTTCACTTTCTGACCAACAGGAGTCACTACCGAGCCAAGGCACAGCCTGTTACATGACAAAGGGGGGGGGGGATCCATAAAGGTCAAGCCGCCCCTCATTAAGCGGGGCCTTTGTCCTGCCCACCCCTCTGCCTTTGAAGAGGGTGGATCAGAGAGGCCTGCCTGGGGGCACGAGGTTCACAGGCTAAGGAGCCAAACAGCAGCCACCTTCCCAACTGCTCCTACTGCCCCTCCCCCAGGGTCAAGAGTTCAGGGAGAGCCCTGGGGAGGCTAGGTAGGGACCCCTGGCCGACCTAACTAAAGGGGACTTGTCGGCCAAAGGATAGGACCCTATCTCTTCACTGTAAGATAGGGAGCCCTTCTGGGAGAAGTGACTTGCCCATGTTCACACAACAGATAGGTGTGTGAGTATCTGTGGTCCGTGTGAGGGCTTGTGGGCCCCGCTGGGGCTGGGACTGGGACTGGGAAGAGCCAGTGCTGCTAAAGAGTCTTGGGGTCTGGCCTTCTAGTTCCTGCCTTGCCATTTACACAGACCCGTTTATCTCTTCGCGGGGTCTCAGTTTCCTCAGTGACACAGGTTTGGTTGGACTATTCAAAGCTCTTTAAAGGCCCGAGGTTCAGAAGGGGTAAGCAGAATGGCTCTCCAGGGCAAGAGGGATCGCGGGCCACACTCTAGAGAATCCAATCAGGGCCAGGGCAGTGGTCAAAGAGAGGACGGCCTGGCCACGTCGGGCACCTGCCAGTGCCCAGAGCCGTCTGGAGGCCCAGGCCAGAGAAGGGTCCTTACCGCTGCCACCGCCGCCTGTGGCCGCCACGCTACGCCGCATCCACTCGTAGGGCGTCCGCCTCTGCGCTCCCGGCGAGGACGGTGCGCCCGGGCCGCCGAGGGGCTGCGCCAGGAGGCTTGGGTCCGACACCGAGGGTGCGGGCACCGGGCTAAAGTCCGGAGTGGGCCCGAAGGCCAATGGGGCCGGGCTGGCAGTCGGGGCCGCGGGCCCGGGACCATAGGCGGCGGCCCAGTCGTCCTTGGGCGCAGAGAAGGGCGCGGCCCAGGCCGGAGGGGGCGCGGGGGCCGGCTCCACGTGCGTGTAGCCCACGAAGTCCGGGTACTGCAGAGGCGCAGGCGCCGGGCCCGGGGGCGCGTAGGCTGGTGGGCCCAGGCCAAGGCCGGGGGGCCTGGCGGGGCCGGGGTACACCGGGGAGTCCTTGTCTAGCACATAGCCCACGTACATGGTGGCCGCGGGGTCCCCCGGCGCATGCTGGGCCCTGGAGCCGCCGTGCGGGCCGGCCGCCCCGACGACCAGCGACTGCTCACCTGGACCCGCCGCCCGCCGCCTTGCCCGCCCCACCCCGGCCTTTTATAGCAGCCCCAGTCGGGCGGCTTTGCATTTCAAAGCGGGGGGAAGCCTCCCGGCCGCGAATCAAAGAGGGAAGCCCGGTGGGACGAGGGGTTCAAAAGGAGACAAATTGCTACCCCAAGCGGGAGGTGGACGTACCAGGGCCCGAGGGGGCTGGGGATGCGGAGGGCGCGGCCTGGTGAGGGTCCAGGCCCTGTTACATGTCCCAACACCTCCTTCCGTGGCCGTGGTGACCTCCCCGCCACCCAGCCCAGGTTACAGGTGGAGAAACTGGCTCCCAGGGGCCGTGGACTGGAGAAGGAATGAACCCCATGCAAGCAGCACACAGCACCGGGATCATGGTGGTCAGTAGGGATCACCAGTTTGAGGTGTGGGGCAAGGCTGACTTCAAACAAGGTTCCTTCTGTAAGGTGGAGGGCCTCTTTCTGAAGGGAGAAACAGGGGTCACGACCCCTTTGGTCCCAGATGAAAGCTTGGGAAATGTACATATGTAGATAAGCAGTCTGTATGCTGGTGAGGGTTTCCCTTGTTGACTCCCCAGAGAAACTTCTGAAAGGCATAGACCAGGGGGTCTTCTGGGGACACCTTAGGAAATTTTACTAATGCTCTTGATGCTCTCTCACCTCACCTGTTATTATTATTGTTGTTGTTGAGAAGTCTCAAGGCACACACAAAAGTAGGACTGTGTCATGAACCCATCAGCTTCAACAATCATCTGGTTGTCACCTTTTCCATCAACTGCTTTTTTCCTAAAGCACTGTAAAAAAAATGTCAGGTGTCATGTCATTTTACCCCACACATGTCAGTCTGCATCTCTAAAATACATGGACATTTTCTTACAAAATATACCATTGTCATGTCTAACTCAGTTAATACAAGTTCTTTGGTCTTTATTATCCAATGCAGTTCACATTCAAGGTAGTCCAACTGATTAAAAATATGTTTTTGCTAGGCATGGTGGTGTATTTCTTTGATCCCAGGGAGATAGAGGCAGGCAGATCTCTGTGAGTTCAAGACCAGTCTGGTCTACATAACCGAGTTCCAGGCCAGCCAGGGCTACATGGTAAGACCTTGTCCCCAAACCAAAAACAAACAGTGTTTTGGCCATTAGTTTGATGAATCCTCACTGATCATGACAGGGCCCCTTTGGCATTTTAAATGTCTGTGTTCTTCCCCACTCCACTGAAGACAGGCAGACACTCTATAGCTACTTGTGCTGGATAGCTTTAGTTGTCAACTTGACGTCAACACCTGGGTAGAGGGAGATTCATTTGGGGAATTTCCTCCATTAGACTGGCCTGTGGTCATGTCTGTGGGGTATTTTCTTGATGTTTGAGTGATGTGGAAGGGCCTAGCCCACTGTGGGCAATGCCACCCCTGGGCAGGTTATTCTGTATTGTATAAGAAAGCAGGCTGAGCATGGGCCAGGGAGTAGGTCAGCAAGCAGCATTCCTCCTTGGCCTGTGCTTCAGCTCCTGCCTCCAGGTTCCTGCCCTGAGTTCCTACCTTGGACTCCCTGATGAATTGTGACCTGGGAGATGTAAGCCAAATAAACCCCTTCCTCCCCAAGTTGGTATTGGTCAGAGTATTTTGTCACAGCAATGAAGAAACAAACTAGAACGCTACTTGATCAGAAAAGGGAATGGTTGAGGGTCAGACTGGGAGTGGGGGGCAAGGCTGAGGAATTGGAGGAGGGATTCAGGAATTCAGGATTCAGAAGGTTCTGGGTCAGGAAAGCTGAAGTAGATGACGGTTCCGCTACATGGGACTCAGGACCAGGAAGCTATGCATAAGAGCCAAGATTTGACCCTTTCACATTTCCTAGGGACCACTAGATAATGTGTATCCCCTAAAGGAGAGTGGAAGCAAGTCTTAGCTCTTAGACTTCCTCTCTCCCTCCAGGGCCAGTCATCATCTTCTCAAGGCAGATAGATGGGGCAAGGGCAGACTGTAACTTGGAGGAGGATCCAGTACAAAATGAAAATCCAAGGTCTCCTGTTTAAAACTATGTAAAATTTCATGATGGTAGGTTTCAGCCAAGCATGAGGTCTTTTTAAGCTGAGTCCTGTGTGACTGTACAGGTGACCTGCGCACAAAGGTAGCCCTGGTCAGAATCACAATTGTATATAGCAATAAGACTAGGAGGTCCCCTTTCTGTTCAAGAGAAACTGCCCATTGACTGGCTGGATGCAGGGAGGCCCGAGAAGGAAAGAATAGAGCTTGAGTTCATGTAGCAAAATGAAGGCTGCTCGTAGAAGGGAAAGTAGCTGGTTGTCACTTACATGGATGACCATATGACACAGTAGAGCACACAACTATCTTGGCAGAAGAGGCCCACATACCCAGGTTGGAAGTCGTCTGGAGCTTTGGTCTCCACTCAGAAAAGGACCTGGGAGAAAGTTATAGGCAGAGTCCAATCCATGTATCCACAAGGAAGTGCTCACTATAGGGCTATCCATCCTGAGGTGGGTGTTGCAGAGAGTGATTTTACCATCAAGGGAGACATGTAAAGAATTGCTGGCTGGGAAGTTCAGGAGGCTGATGCCCTGTAATCCCAAGAGTATGCCAGATCAGAGTATTTGGGAGACTTGCTGCTTAGTGTAGATGTAGGAATTCATTTGTTCATATACTCATCTATTTGACCTGTACATACTGACCCACCCATGCTGACACTATGTTCAGTATAGGGTAAAGCCCTGCCTTAGGGTGCCTGCAGTGCTGGGTGGGAATTAAATGTCCATAGTAAAGGAGACATTACATCTTGGTTCAGGCCAGGAGCAGGAGGCCAAAGAAGTCTTGCAGGAAGGGGTGACACATGAATTGCGTATTGGGGCCCTGGGGAGTCGGGGAAGGCACTGTGGTCCAAGGGTCAGTATGAAGAGGCCATGAGAGACAAGGAATGTGTGTTCCCCTAGAACTGATAACCCAGTCTGAGTAATGGAGAGCAGGAGGCCAGTCTGAGAACCTGACCTCTCTCTAGAACAGAGAGAAGTTGCATCCAGAGTGATCAAGACATGGCCAGAATTCTGTGGTGGCTCAGAGATGTGCCAAAGCAGTAAGAGACTTTCCTGACAGGGAAAGGGCAAGCCAGGGAACCCCAAAGCCCATGAAGCCAGCAGGCACCAAGTACTATACTCTCAAAAGATAGGCATCCCCCCTACACTGCAGACATAGTACTTCTCCAACTTAGACCTTCTGAGTACTAGTTCCGAGCCTTTTCATGGCCTTCCTCTGAGAAAGCAGACTAGGCCCCCACTTTGTGACAATGGCACTGCTGATAAGCAGGTACTAAGTTTAGCCAGGTCTTCTGCATGTATCACCTCCATTCATCCTTACCCCCATCCGGGAAAGAAGAGGTGATTGTTCAAAACAGATCTCTGTTTTGCAGATTAAGAAATGAGCTCAGAGAGTTGAAGTCACCTCTTGGGGCCACACAGCAAGTCAGTGGCCTACATGGCAGATCTGCTTCCTGCCACAGCTGGCCTATCCTGAGCATAGACATCTCCCTGCCCACAACTTGGATTTTGCTTAAACAAATAGCTTGTTCCTCTTCCTCTTCATGCAAAAGAGCCTTGGGGCTCCCCTTTTCTCCCCCCCTACCCCAGATAACCACCCCCCAAGGCCTGAGCAGCTTAGATGTGACTCCCTCAGTTCTCCACTGAAGACATAACCCTGTTTTAAAGTCCAGGTCTGACATTGCAGTTCCCCATCCACCTCTGGCCTGCTATGTGACCTTCGACCCCAGTCTCCAATTTGCCCAGTGGGGACTGGTAGCCTCATGTGTCTCCAATTTGCCCAGTCTCCAATTTGCCCAGTGGGGACTGGTAGCCTCATGTGTCTCCAATTTGCCCAGTGGGGACTGGTAGCTCCATGTCTACATGGAGCACCCTGTGGCTGGCTGCCTGTCTGTCCTCAGGACAGCCTCTTCCTTTGGGCAGTCTCTTATCTCTGGGAGTGGCTGTTTATTGAATCCCTCCTTCCTCTTTCTTCCCCCTGGAAGCTCTCCCTCCAGGCTGCTCTCACACCCCAGGGCCTCCAGGGGTGGGGTGCAGAGAGGAAGGCCTCATAAAGATCTCACTCTGATAACTTGGTTTTCACATTAGGTTTATGGCCCTGGGCTCAGCTCCTGCTGGAAATGGTTTGTTTAAGGGAAATCAGTGGGCACCAGGGCCAGTAGCAGCCCACCATGCCCTCACTCTAGACTGTAGGAGTCAGGGTTGGGGCAAGCCAGGCATCAACCTTGCTCTGTGACCTCAGGCAGGTTAATTTCCCTCTCTGAGTCCCTTTGTGGTCTCAGAATCAGGGCTGACAATTTCTACCCTGTCCATGTTTAGTGGGCAGAGGTGAATCTCAGAGTGGGTGTGACTTTTTTTGGTGGGGGGGCCTTTTTGAGACAGGGTCTCCCTGTAGCCCCAGCTGTCCTAGAACTCACTATGTAGAGCAGGCTGGCCTTGAACTCACAGATCCGCCTGCCTCTGCCTCCTGAGTGCTGGGACTAAAGGCGTGGGCCACTATGCCCAGTGTGACTTTTTTGCCTTCCAGACAGCCCTCTCCTCCAGCCCCTCCAGAGGTGAGGCTGCCATCTGCTGGCACTCCAGGATATAACAGGAAGATTCAGATTCACTGCCTTGTCTCTGATAACCCAGGCCACAGACCTTCTGGGAAACAGAGGCATCTAGAAGGGAGGCAGCCTCCTCCTCCACAGACACCAAAGATTAGAGAGGATGCTAGAGCCAGGGCTCAGAGCAAGCACAGGATTTGTCATGGGAAGGAGCACTGCACTTGCCAGTGCAGACAGACAGATGCCCAGAAGGAAAACTGGCTCTGAGAGTCAGTGGTCAAAGCATGGGACCCAGAATCTTATTTACGATTGCCCACAACAAGCAGCCCAGCCTGAGGTATATATCTCAGCCACCTGGCCTCACGCAGCAGTGGCCCTACTGGCTTCAGAATAAAAGCC